GGTGGATGGATGGATGGATGAATGGGTGGGTGGGTGGGTGAATAGTTGGATGAAAGGATGGGTAGATGGATAAGTGAATGGATAGATGGATGCATGAATGGGTGGATGAATGGATGGATGGATGGATGGGTAGGTGAATGGATAAGTGGATGCATGAATCGATGAACAGATGGATGGAAGAAAGCAACAAAGGAAGGAATCTCTCTAATCCCCAATGCTAATCATCCTGGACACACATTAAGTGTTTTGGAAATTTTTACCTCCATACACCAGGGCAGTGGGCTCCACCTGCAGACTTGAACCTTCCCAGGCAACTCTAAAGACCGTGGCCGCTGGGTCCTGACCTCGTGGTCCACGCCAGTCTTGTTGCTCATTATACCCTCCACAGTGCCCTGGCCACCTTGAGCTCCCCAGCAGGAGTGAGGTTACCGCCATGCTCCCCAGGTGTGCTGGCTACAGCTCTGAGCAGGACCCGGGGCGGGAGGGGGCGGGGAGGCAGCGCAGGGTTTGGACTCAAGGTCTGCTCCCTGCTCGAGTGATCAACATCATTTCCATACTATAATTACATTGCCCAATCCTCTCCTGATTTTACTGCTATCTTGTAAGCCGTCCCGGTTGTGAGTAATTTAAAGCTATATGAGATGTCAGCCTCCGTGAAACAATCACCCCTCAAAGAAATATGGCCCTAGATCATAATTGATAAGTCCCATTAGGCAATGGGGCCTCTTATTTCCTCTTTGGTCTTCTGAGATGGCCTTGTTGATTCGCCTAACACAGACTGTGTCCCCAGCATTGCCAAGGGAGAAGGATTCATTTGGCTTGAAGGGGACAGGGGCTCAGGGGCCCCAGGTCAGAGAGCGGGGGGAGAATGGGGTAGGGAGGGGGGGCTCTTGGCTGGAATGCGTGCACCCTCGCTGATTTTCCTCCCTGTCTGCCTGTATTATCTGGCCCAGGGAACCCCCACAGGAGAGTTGGCTGGGTTCAAGTCAAGACTCCCAGATCTGTTCTTGTTTAGCTCCCTTAGAATCAAAAGAAAAGGTGGGTGGGGACATCGGTGCACGCCTGTCACCCCAGCAGCTCAGGAGGCTGAGACAGGAGGATCGTGAGTTCAAAGCCAGCCTCAGCAGCTTAGCAAGGCAACTCAGTGAGACCCTGTCTCTAAATAAAATATAAAAAATGGCTGGGGATGGGGCTCAGTGATTAAGTGCCTCTGGGTTCAATCCCCAGTACCCCCCCCCAAAAAAAAACCAGGAAAAGTGACATACGTGGCTCTGAGCCCTGTTACTCCCTAAGAAGTACTTCAGAGCTCTGCAGGGGTCCAGGAGGGCACACACCCTCCCAAATGCACCCCCCCTCCAGCCCGGCTCTCTCCTGCCTAGCTGCTCCCCTGGCAGGTCAATGAGCTGGGCTGTGTTAAGTAATTATGGCTCCAGTGTGCTCTTCTAAAACTTAGAAATGGTTCGCCCAAATACCTTCTCCCATATTTCATCCCTTCACCTCCCTTTCCTAGGTCCAGGGTCAAGCAGGAGAGCAAGTTGGAGTGAGGAAGCAAAAAACACCCAATGGAATTCTAGGCCCTACCCTGTGGCCAACTCGCTGTGCTGCATTGAGCAAGTCCCCTCCCCTCTCTGGGCCTTGATCACTTCATCTTAAAATGAAGGACTAGTGTAGAACATTTTAAAAATTAGTTGCCAGTATTTAAAATTAAGATATCCTGTGTAAGAGGTAAATCGTTTCTCTCATGAATTCTGATTAGAAACACAAGACTCACGATCACACGTGGCTTCCGACAGCTAAAACAGAGTGGCCGCTGCCCTGGTCAGGCAGGGCATGTGCCCTCTAGCTAGCCACAATCCCCACTACTCCCTATTGCCCTATGGTGGCTCCTGGTGGGTCTGTTATCACTGGCCCTTCTAAGCCCATGTGGCTGGATTTTCTTCCCTCCAGCTTCATCCACCCCCAGTAAACTCACTCTCACGCTGGGTCCAACGGCTCTTGACCATCCCTTGGGACAACTCTTCTCGAACCTTAGGGAACCCTGAGCGGCGCTGATTCAGCACCACGGACAGATCCCCGCCACCCATTGGAGTCCTGCCCCCCCCCCACAGCGTTCCACCCTGTGGGCAGCCTGGCTGTGGCCAAGAATAGCAGGCTCTGTGATACCTGGAATCGCGTTCTGTTGATCCCTCTCAAGCCCCAAATCTTCAGTGAGGCTGTTCTCCGCCTGATTGACCTGTTTGTGATTCTGTCCTCCCTTGTGATCCGTGGGGAGGGTGGGAGCTCGCGCTGGGGTGGGGCGGGCGGTTCTTCTCTGGCAAGACGTGTCAGAGCGCCTATCTGTCTGGGGGCGTAGCTGCTGTTTCCCAAACACCGTGGTCCATGTTGCTGTAAAGAGTGACGGGTCCGCTCTCCGCCATCACCGTTGCGCACTTCTCCTCTTTTGATATCTGTTTTTTCCTTCCAAAATGCACTGGGTGATTGAGAGGCCTCGGTTGCTTTTTTGAGATGCATCATAAGGCGCTCTCCGTGAGCAACTTGGCCAGGCCCTGTGCACAGACAGAAGAGAAAACTGTCAAGGCCTCCAACTCGTTTCTCACTGGCACCTCTTTGCGAGTCTCCCTCGCTCCCCCTCCCCCCGTGGCGTCTCTCTGGGGGTCCACGGCTGTCAGGGGGAGATCAGTTGGTGAAGCTGGTTTCAACTCCTTCTACCAACTTGGCACAGAGTTCAAAACCTGCCAGTCATCAAAGGGCACTCAAAGCCAAGTTCATGTGGCCCAGTGGTAGGGACCAGGAGAAAAGAAGCTCATAGGAAAGACAATAAAAAGACAGACAAAAAATAGCTGATTGCCAGTGGCTCCCGAGGCTGAGGCAGGAGGATCGGGAGTTCAAAGCCAGCCTCAGCAATGGTGAGGCCCTATGCAACTCAGTGAGACCCTGTCTCTAAATCAAATATGAGAAAGGGCTTGGAATGTGGTTTGGTGGTTAAATGCTCCTGGGTTCAATCCCCGGGACCCGACACCCCCCCCAAAAAAAAAAAATAAGAAAAAGAAAGGTGATGGTAGACGTTAGCTAGAGTTGCAGAATACCCACACCACAAAGATCCAGCCAGACCTGTAATCCATGTCTCGGGCCCATGTCCCCCCAAGCTGTGATCTGCTTTTCACCTCAAGGAACCAGGACTTTTCCCAGACAGAGAGCAGGCAGGTGCTCCCCCTCTGGCCTGAGGCTCTCAGAGGGCTGACGGATGAGAGAGATGGGACTGTGACCCTCTGAGTCATCTGCTTGTTCTCTGAGCTCTGACATAAAAGCAGAAAGACAGCGTGCCAGACGGAGTCGGGGCCAGAGAGGACTGTGACGTTATACTTCAGGATGTCATTCATGAACGCGCCCCACACCCCGTCTTCAGGCTGTCTGGCCTCTGGCGCATGAGGCTGCCCAGGTGGCCAGCCCCCACAGCCCCGCCTCAGTCCCTGACTCCACCTCACTTGGCCTTGTGTCCCTGGGATCCCTGGCACCAGCTCTGCCCTTGGCAGCCGCTGCTCAAGGACAGTCCTCTGTGGACTTCAAGAAGGAGCCTCTCCCCCAAAAATAAAATAAATAAAAGAAAAAAAAAAAAGAAAATCATGGTGCTCGAGAGGCCCCGCGATTGGCCCCCAGCCCGTCCTCCAGACCCCGCCCCTGGGGACCCTTCCCAGCCCCTGGGGGTCAGGCCACACCTGTCTCCTCCAAGGCCCTGACCTTCCCACCCCCTCTCCGGCTCTGCTCAGAGCCTCCCCACAGCGGAAAGGCTGTTTTTCTGCCTTTGAATTCTCCCCTGTTTTTTAAAAAGGATAAAATTCCTACATGTAACTATTTATCCATTAAATGCCACCATTCGGAGAACAAGAGAGAAACCCACAGAGTGAAGAGTCCTGAGACAGCACAGTACCCGGGGAGTCCTATTCACAATAAATAAAGAGCACACAGTAATGCACAAGAACCGGGGGGAGGAGCCACCGGGAAAACCAATGGGCAGGCGCCGCGGCCGGCACGCCCACCCCGGCCCCAGCCGCCAGCCAATGGGGAAACGCGCTGGCGACACCCGCCCCGGAGGCGATGCCCACGAAAACCGCTACATCAGCCCCTCGCACCCACCGCACGGAGATGAAGTCAAATGAAAATGAAAGAAAATACCAAATGTCAACAGAGACACACAGCCCCAACGCGTCCCCCCTGGTGGGAGTGTTCATGGGACAGCCAGCCTGGAAACCGTCCGGCAGCGTCTGCAAAACCTCCACACACGCTCAGCCCTGTGACCCAGCACCACGACCCCAGGCCGTGCCCGGCGGAAATGGGCACCGAAAGGCATGCACGGGATTCCATAGTGCCACCATCCAGGGTGGCCAGGAATGGGACTGGACACGTCCAGTAACAGCAGAAGGGGAAAATGCGTCGTGGAGCGTCACACCCCGAGATTCTGCATGGTGACAGGGACACAGAAGACAGAACTACATAAAACATGGATGGAGCTCACCAACAATAAGCAAGAGAAAGGGGACATAAAAAGAGGGCGTCCTCTATACAAATATAGCACAGAAGAACCTGTGTGCTGAATGTCAGGTCAGGATTCACCCGGAGAGGCTGGACGTCTCTAGGGACTCTCTTTGGGATACTTGTTCTACAGGGGCATTGGTCTTTCAATAATATAGCAAGCTGCACACTTGTCTGACGGATTTCTGGGACTAAAAAAAAGAGGTTAAGGAAATTCCACCTTACCCATCTTGGTGGCCATATGCCTGTAATCCTGGTGGCTAGGGAGGCTGAGGCAGGAGGATCTCGAGTTCAAAGCCAGCCTCAGTCACAGCGAGGCCCTAAGCAGCGCAGTGAGACCCTGTCTCTAAATAAATACAAAATAGGGCTGGGAGTGTGGCTCAGTGGTTGAGTGCCTCTGAGTTCAATCCCTGGTACCAGACCCCCCAGAAGAAATCCCACCTGCATTTGAAGTCCAGGTCAAGTCTGTCCTGGTGATAAGACTCCACACACACTGTCCATTCTCATTTTATTTCACTTCTTCCTGTGCCTGCTGAGGACAACTAGGGTGTGCCCATTGTGTCTATCTTCTGATAGGTTTTGTCTCCTCCACCCTCTGATTCATGCTGTCACATAGTAAGTGCTCAGAAAAATACATATGGATGGAGTGAGTGTCACTGTGGGAAAACAAAGTGCTAAATGTCAGGAGACCTGAGATTCAAACTCACCTCGGGACCATTGCACTTGCTTTCTCTCTTGCCTTAATGCCCACATTGCTTGTCCCTCTCTCATTTCGTCCAGTTGTCTGTTCAAAGTCCCTTTATTAAGAAATCCTTCCTTCACTGACCAACCTGTGCAAAATAATGCTATCCCTTTATTGTTCAAACTCTTCTGTTCTGCTTTTCTTCTCCTTGTTTTTCTTTTCATCTAATCTATTATGCATTTATCTCTTTATTGATTTCCCTTTCCTTCTGCCACTGCTAGAAACTAAACCCCAGAAGAGCATAAACTTGATTTCCTTTATCTACTCTACTTCCAAATGCTAGAATAGCATCTGGCACTTAGTAGGTTCTCAGCAAGTATTTCTTGAACAAATGTGTGAGTTAAAGTCTTGGCAACTCTGGCTATTTTCTTGCTGTGTGACTTTGGGTGAAGAGATGAGCATCTCTGAACCTAACTTTTCTGCATCTGCCAAGTGGGGCGAGTAGCAACACCCCTTTCCTTGTTGTACGATAATCCACGGAAAGCACTTCTCTCAGCTCAGGGCACAACATATGCCCTCAGGAGGCGACAGCTGCTCTAGCAACGTAGCTCATCTTCCCACGAAGCGCACGTGGCTCGTCTTCCCGTCTCTGGAGCCGGGTGCCTTCTGCAGCTGATGTGCCCTTGCTGACTTGGCAGTGTGAGTTTGGCTTGGTGTCCTTACGCTCCGCAGAGAGCCTGGCATGTGGCTGACTGGGAAGAGGAGTCGGTGTAGTCGCGGAGGCCGGGCTCTGCCAGCAGCCCTCTGTGTGACATGGCAAGAGCTTGTTGTCCCTTGTAAACTCCGGTGTCATCAGTGATAGAATAGGCCGGGTGACAGTCACAGCCCTTCCCAGCTCTGTAGGTGCTGCCATGGAGCCCACCCCCATACACGGACCTCCCCGGGACCAGCCACCTCCAGGTCCCATCAGAGTCCCCGAAGGCTCCAACGCCACCAGTGGAGACAACCTGTGACCATCACTCGCCGTCACTGGCCTGGGATCCTGATTCTTCCCCTGCGTCTGCATCCAGCCAGGTGCTGGGCGTGGCCACTCAGGGTCCCCACTGTCTCTGCGTCCCACCTCTCTCCTCTTCCTCAGCTCTCCCCTGGTCGGATTGTCACCACCTGCCATCTGTCCCACAGGCACCAGCTCAGTCTTTGTGTCCCACAGGCCACCAGCCACGCC